CAAGTTTGAAACATGTAGATGATACAGTGAAAAAAGCATTGAATCATTGCCTACAATACAACGATACAATTCCTCCACTATTTTTCTCCTACTATTTCTATCTCCTCCTTGGCACGGTCATAATAATAGCTGGAGGAATCACTCAAAGCATATTGTTCACATATGTGTCTGACATTTGCTCTACCTCTAGCTCAGAGTAGTTTGCTTTTTAAAGTATAGGTGTTTCTACTGAATATTCCAGTGTTGTACTGTATTATTGTTCTAATCCTCTCATTGTCTTGGCCTTGTTTTATTCACTCAGCCTGGGGTTGGGAATAACAACAGCCACAACAAAGGCTACACACGCACACAGTGAGGCAGAGAGAACTGGACTGAACTGGAGACCATAACCTAGCCGAGCATCCAGCTGCAGCACATGTTCAGAAACTAGCATTCTGCACAATATGCACACACACAGACACCCAATCACATTATTAGCATGAAGGACTAAAACACATTTGTGTAATTCACTTTTAATAAGGGAACAATGAATGGTTCTTAAACATTAATTTATAGCCATTACATTGTTTAAAATAAAGGAGAATTTGTTAGATGTTAATAAACAGTGTGTATTCACAGAGTCATCGTGATTTGGTAATGTGATGTTGGGGTGGATTTAGGAGAGTGCATGTGTTTTTAGTCGTACAGGCAGAGAGAAAATGCAAAAATGATTATGCTCCCTCTTTTTGATTACAAAGCTTTGATGTTAAAAAGATGTATTGCAAAACAATAATCACTTTATCCACCCATTAATTTTTAGCAAAATGCCTTTCCCCTGTGTGTGCGTGCGTGTTTGTGTGTGTGTGTGTGTGTGTGAGAGAGAGAGAGAGGGAGAGCACTTGCAAAATTAAAACACCAAGCTTTAACCATCAGCACCACAGATTGTGCTACAGGGATCATCATAGTAGTAGTATTCCATTTGCCTTTCTCAGAAATATTAAAACAGGGCCACAAATTGCTCTCCTGTCAGATGCTGAATTGGATTGTTCATCAAATTCATTAATTTCTTTGCAATTAAATACCCATTTTTCAAATGTGCCCTATATGTGGCAAAAAGTTTCAAATACAATAATACTATGTCACTTCATACCTATTATGCCTCTATCCCAAGCCTATTCAAATGGCGGCCCGCGGGCCAAATGCGGCCCAGAAGCAACCTGCGAGTGGCCCTGCCTGTGGTCCTGGCAAAAACACAGAGAAAACGCAAAAAATGAGTTAATTAAAAAAAAAAAAAATTAAAAATTCCTACAGCGTAGTGTAGACTGTGAATGCAACACTCCTAGTAGCCTAGCAATATTTAACCCACAATGCACCGTGATGTAAACATATTAAACAATCATCGTAATATATGATGCGACAACAGCATGTCTTTCTCACTCCAAAAGCACAAAACTGACAATGAAAACTGCCGGTTTAACCCTGCCCAGACTGACAAATACTTATTCATTTTACCGAATTTAATAATCTTACAACCGGAGTTGTACTACCATGGTGAAGGTCCTGTACAGCCCAAGAGAGAGCTGCAGCAGCTTCCCTTCATGTTTGCTTCTTGGCGAAGAAGAAAAGGCCTTTCACAGATTCTGAAACAGCGAAATACTGCATGCTGGCCGTGGTGGATGCGGTGAAAAGTGATGAAAAAATTTAGAGTAAGTGTGACATCTGCTATTACAAACGTACCCCTGTCAGACAGTTCAAATATTCGTAGAGTTGAAGTTCTGGCGTCAGACGAGTTTGAAATGCTGTTAGATGACCTGAAGAAAACTGATGTAATGTCTATAGCAGGAGATCACAGACAGAACTGATAATGCACAGTTGTGCGTATATGTCCGTTTTTTGGATGGGAAATTGCTCGGCTTACTACCGTTAGAGGGACACACAGCTGGCGAAATAATGTTTGAGAAGATTTCAGCTCTTTTTGAGGAAAATGGTCTGGATATGAAGCGTGTCTGTATACTTGTGACGGATGGGGCTCCATCCATGGCAGGAAAAGTGAGTGAATTGAAAGGGAATTATCAAAATGTTTTTTTGTTATTATTATTATTTCAAATGTGCAAAAAATAGTTTAGTTATAGCTCCCTTTTTTTAAATGGACCTTTTGGTGTGCATTTGTGAGAGGTCACCAGATTTACAGGGGAATAGGAATAAAAAAATGATTTGTTTTTCAATACAGTTGTGTGGGTTTGAAATTGATCATGATCTACTGCTTACTGGCTTAAAAAAAAAAATCTGGCCCAGATAAATTCCCGGTTTGAAAATCTGGCCCAACTAACTTCGTAGTTGAATAGCCATGCTCTATCCTATGGGTAGGATCTCTTTTGTAAAAGAGACATTGAGTCTCAATGGGGCTACCTGTGATTAAGGTGTTTTGCAAGAATTCTTTAGCTCACACTTATAAATAGTTGCTGTAAGACTGTATTGTACATATTGATTATATACAGTTTGTGTTTTAAATATTGCCTTACCCAAGAAAATCCAATTTAATTTTAATACCATACAAAAAACATCCTCTCTCAAGGGTTAGTACAACTACTGGGGGTCACCTTATTGTTGCACTTCTCTTTAGTTGTTACTTTTTCATCACTACTCCTTTTATCCTTTTTCTTTTTCCTCTTGAGCCACAACAAGGATCGCAATCACTGTAATGTGTTGTAATCACATTTCCCAATTTGATAATTGGGGAAAAAAGGGTGTAGTTATGGAACAATATGGAGTAGTAGTTTTCCACAACTGAGACACATTCAAGTTCTCAAACTCCTCCTGCACAGATCCCACAATAAGCCTTTCTGTCTTTTTTCTTTTGTCCTGTCTTTCTTTCTCCCTGCTTCCCTTTCTGTCTCCCATCCCCATTCTTCTGACTCTATCACAGTCTGGTCTCCATTGTGGTGATAGATTATAATGATCTTTAATTAGATCTAAATATAACGATAGGCGCACATTGCCATCAGTGCCTCTCTGTGTGAAGACTGGCTATCATTAGGTTGGGTAATAAGAACCAAAGAAAAGAGGTGAAAAAAGGACTGGGAGAGATGGGGGAAGGGTGGGCAGTGGGGGGGGTGGGGGGAGGACAAGGGGGGAAAGAAAGGTTTTTCTTTTTTTTTAAAGGATGGATGAAAATTGGACTTGGAAAAGGTGATTGGAGATATTCAAGCCACTTTCAAAAACTTGAAGCAATTTACACCAAAGATGTTTCATGGGCATTCAACAAATGTATCATTAAGCACGTCAGCAGTCCATTAAGCTTTTTTTTCCTCTTCTCATTTAAATTCCTTTTTCTCTCAAATAGCACAGGCTAAAACTGTCTTCTCTTTTCCTAGTTTCACATTTTATGATGTTTTGATAATGATATAATTGTTTTTTTTATTTTATTTCTGATTTATTTATTTTACATTTATTTAAGAAATCTCCAAAAAGTCAACTCTTCAGTTCCACTCCCTTATCATCATTTTATCAGTTTCCGGTAATAATGATAGTCACAAATATTTTTCAACTTTATTGTTTATTACATGTGCTTTAAAGGTTAAGTTCCCTATTCCCAGCTGTTGTCAGATTTAATTGTTGATAATACTAAGCTTTTCCGTATTTTTCTAGATGAATCTTTATTCCGGTATTGTAGATAAAGGGGAAATTTGCTTGAGCTATGTTTATGTACCCTGCCTTTCGCCCTATGACAGCTGGGATAGGCTCCAGCGCCCCCCGCAACCCTGAAAACGATAAGTGGAAGCGAATGGATGGATGGATGGGCTTGCATCTCAATTTTAAACTGTCATGAAGAAAAACATATATATAATGGTCATAAATTTAAAAAAAAAACAATAATGATGTATCTATATCACTTAAAGAATGACTGATCAAGAGGTTTCAATGTGCTACCAAGAGCTCTGAAAAAATGTTGTTGTTTTTTTTGTTTCCCCAAACACGACTTTTCATCAGTCCACTATAAACTGATTAAATGGTCAAGCATTTGAAGGTTGGTCGGATGGAGTGTGACCAAGTCCTGTTGACTTTTACTATGCCAGTCACTTGATTATGGTGTGCCATTTGTGCCCTGCTTCTAACATCTTGCAACCTCCTGTTATCTGCTGGATTATCTCAAGGTCATCTTTGCACAGCCTGCACCTGTGGTATTACCTGGTTTTGTAGACCTTGTGTTTAGAGCTTGTTCCCCTGCTGCCATGATTGGTGCCTTCATGCTATCTTTCAGACAAGCTTTGCCCGGCCATTGATAGGATTTTTAGATTTCACCCACTTCTTCTATCTGCTAGTGGTAGATGCCATGCAGGGAATTGTCCTTCCCTGACTATGCCTCTTGTTGCTCCTCTTCGTTCTTATGTTTCTGCTGCCTGAGGTATTCACTAAGCTCATGATCAGTTGTGACCATCTTCCTGATGTTCTCATGGATCTTTGCTTTTTCATCTTGAACAGTGGTTCTGACACTCAGTAGTGCTCGGCCTCCTTCCTTTGCTTAGCGTACAGTTTCAAGGTGCTATATATTTAAAAAAAATTCTCTACTTGCTTTCATGGACCATGTGAGCAGTTGGGAAATTTTTGTTGTGGCTCCTTTTTCTCCGGTGTCTGCCCCTGGGCAGAGCTGCCTTCACTCATCTGTGCTGCTCACCAGAAACTAATGTATGGCATTCGTCAGAGGGTATTTATGACCAGCATGGCTGTCTCTTCACTGCCAGTTCGTCAACTTACCCATGTTGGTAATAGGCTCATTGTTCTTCAAGGATTCTTTATTGTCATTCGCATCACATGTTTACATGAGGTGTAATGAAATTAGGTGCACAAGGTCCCGGAGCGAAAGAAACAGAACAAAAAGAAAGCAGAATAACAAGTAATACAAATAAATAGAGCGCAACAACCTGAGTATTATAAATACAAGTACTAAAGTAATACAAATAAATAGAGTTCTTGATCTATGTCCCAGTTTTGTGTATACTTACCTCGATTTCTTTGTGCAGTTCCATCGTTACACCACCGCTCCAACTGAACTCGCCTTTTGGATACTGGTCATAACTATCATTGGAATTACACCACACTCCAATCTCTAGGAGGGAAATTTCCACAACTCACTGCCAGCCCTTCTTCCACCGTCACTCACAGGGAATCCTGGAATCCAGGTCAGCTCTTCATCTCTGCACCCAACTCACCACTTAGACCTTTGTTTTGTGTGAATTTAACTCAGGTGTCTCCGTACCTGGTTCTGCACTTGAGTCCAGTTCTGTACAGGCCTTTGGCCCCTGCTGACACTTGCCCCTGCTGGCAGCATTTTATCCTTTAAGCTGGAAGTTTGAGTGTTCTGTGCAGTGTATTTGCTGTTCCTAAGTCTCTTCTAGACAGAGATCTCAGATGTCATTCCTTGGATCTGCTTATTGAGTTTGGAGGTCACATGCTCCAGTTACCACAGTTGGCTTTAACTTTCGCATCTTTTATGCCTTTCTTCCACTTATGGTACAGAACACAACAATGGCGGAGTTTGCGCTCTCTAGTCGCATGACAGGTGAGTCCTAGTAAATCATTTCCCAGTACGTGTACATTACAGAAGCTATTTTTAAAAATTATGACTATTATTTTGCTAGCTATCAAACTCGCTGGAGAAATGCACTGAGTGTGATGCAGTATGGCAGCGCTATTATGGAATATGCTGTGAACTTAGCTAACATTACTTAACATTAGCCCGATGCATAACTAGCCAACTTAAGGCTTTCTGATTAACCCTCTGGGGTTGACGGATCCAGAGTCTCCATTTCAACTTGGGTCGAACGTGCGGACTTCAAACTATATGCTGCTTTTTAAATTGTGTTGATAGGCCACGTAAAACTGATGTTTGTTTGTTTGTTTGTTTTTCTGAATAAAACAGTGGCATTTACTCTGGGAAGAAACGGTAAAAACGACGTTTTCTAAGGAGAGCGCTAGCAAACACGCTTTGCTTGTGAGTGAAAAAAGAAAAAGAAAAAACACTCCTTCCATATTGGTGGAAAAATGTACCATGTCAACCAATAAAAAAATGATATGGCAACACGTGGCATTTGGTTGTTTGGGAAGAGCGGGAAGTTTTAGGAGTGACCGGCGAGAGAAAGCGAGTGAGCGAAAGAGAGAGAGAGAGAGAGAGTTTTGATATTTGAGAGATTTGTGACGTTTACCATGTTTGGAGTCTCAAGTTAGTGTGTTGTCTTGTGTAGGTAGTGTGTAGTGTAGTGGTTTTTTTGTTTTGTGTGTCAGTTCTACTAGTGAATGTCACAGTTGCTGCAAAAAAGCCACCAAAGGCATATTGCAGTGTAAAAGCTGTCTCCACATGGAAAACAGGAGTGATACACCTGCTGTCAGACCTGCCGGATTTATCCCTATGCTGTTCTCATCTATGTTATAGTGGACACAAACTATTTTTTGGAGTTGCATAAATAATGTGTGTCCCTTTTTATTCGATGCAGAGCACCTGATTGTACCATATAACCATATAACTTTGTTGTTTGCAAAAGTTGTGCATATTTTTAAAAAATGTACAATTTCAATTTGCATTATTATTTGCAAGTTATGAAAATTATTCGTTAAACATGCTTGTGGTTTTTGCAGTCAAAAATATCACTTTCTACTGGTATTTTAAATTTTGTCTGAATTTAGATAAATGGTGCTGATACAGTTTGTCAAAATGAGAAAATAACAGATTGGCGCGAGATAAATAGTTTTTAAAGGTGAAATATAGAGGCCAAATCAAAAGTAGTCAAAAATGGCCAATTATACCCTGGACACCAGAGGGTTAAAGGCTAAAAGCAAAGTTGTCACCAAGTACTGTTATTATTTGTGTGTATTGCTGCAGTTTTTTTGAGTATTAACTTGGTGCCTTTGGGTGAAATAATGGTAATATGAGGGACCGATCCATATGGTCACAAAGAATAGCCACTTGTTTCTGTGCTACCAAAGTTCCCCGGCTTTCACTCAAAATGTGTTTATCGTCAGCACCGACACATTAAACTACTTAAACATTATAAATGTCTTCAAGCTCACACCGAGGCCCATGGGGCACTATCAGCCACTGAGACAGTAGACACATTTATGTGTATTTGAATATGAATATTTCATACTTTAAGGCTGCCAGTTTATTTAAGGGAGATGAACAAAATACATTGGAATTGTACATAATAATATCACAGATGATCACAGTTTTTGTTTTTCAACAGGAGAAGAATATCTCTAACAAGTTGATTTGATCTTAATTTTTAACTGAAATTTGCATTTTCAGTTCATACACTATGTATATAAGGTGACGGTTTCATTTTGCAGTATTTTTGTGTAGTTCGTTTTTCTATGTCTTAACAGAAGGGGAACAAAGGTGTTTAAGTTCACCTAGGATGATTTGTTTTAATTTTCACATGGTCTTACTGAGGTGATGCGAATTGAGACACATGCATTCTTTTTTTTTTTTTGTTGGCTGGGGGGGGGATGTGCTGGAAAAGCTTGAAAAGGGACCTTGAAAGTACTTTAAAAGTGCTTGAATTTGACCCTGAAAAAGGCGTATGAACCCTGATTACAGTATATGTACCAAAAAATTGATTCTGTTCTGGACGTTGTGTTTTCAGTGGGCGAAACATTTCATCACTCATCCTAATGACTTCTTCAGTCAGTAAGCTCTCCAATTCTCCCTATCTGCATATGTTTTGCTCTCAGTTTTTAGGGTCACCGCCTTACTCTATTTGTCGTTCTCCCTTAGATCGCTCAAGTACGGCATCAGTCCTCCCAGCACGCCAGGCTCTGTGCTTTCGTTTTCTCCTCATCATTGTACATTTACCCTGTCACTGCAAATAGCTCTCACCTTTGTAAATACCCCGTCACTGTAAATAAACCTAATTCACTGCACTCCCGAGCCTCTGTGTGTTTCTGTCACATGAGTCCACCCTTTAGAGTCACCTAACAGGATTGGATATCGGGGAGAAATAAAAATATGTAACCCAATCCAATAAATATCACAAAAAAACCTCACAAAACTTGTGACATGGCATAACCAAGGTCATGACCTTAGCACGTCGGAACAGTATGCGTCACGTGATAGAGTGGTTATCGTGTGCGAGATCTGTCGGTGGTCTTGTCAGCGGTGTGAGTTACTTCAGGCTGAAAGAAGAAAAAAGCAAGACTGCTGAGTGTAACTTATGCAATGCAAGTGTTTCACAAGGTGGTAGCAGTGTTGGGAACTTTAACACCACAAACATGATTAACCACTTACCGAAATACCAGAGAAAGGAGTACATGGAATTTATCCAGGCCTCCAATGTTCCGAAGAAACACACAAACAGAAAGTATTCAGAGGTGTGAGAAACTCCCTCCAGAAAGCAATAAAGCAAAGCTGATAATGGAGAAAATTGTTGAATTTATTGTGCTTGATGACCAAACCCTTCTGTTGTGGAAAATGTCGGTTTTCGATGCTTAATGGAGCATTTGGAGCCTCGCTATATGCTGCTGAACTGGCATTTTATCTCAGAGAAAGCTATCCCAGAGAAGTACAAGCAGGTGTGTAAGTTCATCTCTGAATGTTTGGAAAGCATTAAGCTTAACAACTGATATCTGGAGCTCGGACATTTGTCCGTTGTCATTGCTAAGTCTGACTGTACAATGGATAGACTCAAGTTTTGCAGCTTTGCAAAAAGCAGTGTTGCAGGCTAAAGAGTTTTGTGGCTCACACTCAGGAGAGTCCATCGCTACAGCTATGGACGAAATGTTAAATGCGTGGAAAATTCCAAAGTCCACGTTGTTTTGTGAGACAACGGCAACAATATAACAAAGGCAATGGACTGGCTAGGTGTTGCAAGTTTTGGATGCTTCACGCACACTTTGCAACTTGTGGTGAATGAGGGACTGCTAGCACAACGTAGTGTATGTGATGCTGTGGCAGTGGGCAGAAATAGTGGGTCAGTTCAAACACTTCACCACAGGCATATTCACCTTTGGAGAACATTCAAATGGAGCTGAATATGTCACCCAAACGTCTGATATAAGATGTGTGTACAATAGGGCTGGGCTATATCATACCGTTCACGGTAATACCGGTGTAATTTTGGGCAA